CAGAGAGAGACCAGAGAGACCAATGTGAGACCAAAGTGAGACCAGAGAGAGACCAGAGAGAGACCAGAGAGAGACCAGAGAGAGAGCAGAGAGAGAGCCCAGAGAGAGTGCTTTTGTACCTGTGCTAAAAGTTTATTTCATACAATTTATACAAAATAAAAACTGAAATATTAAATGAGATTCGAACTGAACTCATTTGAAACTAAATCTGATATTTGATGTTTTTGAAGTTAAGATGTTGTTTAGGTGAGAATTACTATTTTCACTGTTTAGACCAGAGAGAGAGACCAGAGAGAGACCAGAGAGAGAGACCAGAGAGAGAGACCAGAGAGAGACCAGAGAGAGAGACCAGAGAGACCAGAGAGACCAGAGAGAGACCAGAGAGAGAGACCAGAGAGAGACCAGAGAGAGACCAGATAGAGACCAGAGAGAGAGACCAGAGAGAGAGAGACCAGAGAGAGACCAGAGAGAGACCAGAGAGAGACCAGAGAGAGACCAGAGAGAGACCAGAGAGAGACCAGAGAGAGAGACCAGAGAGAGACCAGAGAGAGACCAGAGAGAGAGACCAGAGAGAGAGACCAGAGAGAGACCAGAGAGAGACCAGAGAGAGAGAGAGACCAGAGAGAGAGACCAGAGAGAGAGACCAGAGAGAGACCAGAGAGAGACCAGATAGAGACCAGAGAGAGAGACCAGAGAGACCAGAGAGACCAGAGAGAGAGACCAGAGAGAGAGACCAGAGAGAGACCAGAGAGAGACCAGAGAGAGAGACCAGAGAGAGAGACCAGAGAGAGAGGCCAGAGAGAGACCAGAGAGACACCAGAGAGAGAGACCAGAGAGAGAGACCAGAGAGAGACCAGAGAGAGAGGCCAGAGAGAGACCAGAGAGAGAGACCAGAGAGAGACCAGAGAGAGACCAGAGAGAGAGACCAGAGAGAGAGGCCAGAGAGAGACCAGAGAGAGAGACCAGAGAGAGACCAGAGAGAGACCAGAGAGAGAGACCAGAGAGAGAGACCAGAGAGAACCAGAGAGACCAGAGAGAGACCAGAGAGAGACCAGAGAGAGACCAGAGAGAGAGACCAGAGAGACCAGAGAGACCAGAGAGAGAGACCAGAGAGAGAGACCAGAGAGACCAGAGAGAGAGAGCCAGAGAGAGACCAGAGAGACACCAGAGAGAGAGACCAGAGAGAGACCAGAGAGAGAGCCAGAGAGAGACCAGAGAGAGAGACCAGAGAGAGACCAGAGAGAGAGACCAGAGAGAGAGACCAGAGAGAGACCAGAGAGACCAGAGAGAGACCAGAGAGAGACCAGAGAGAGAGACCAGAGAGAGACCAGAGAGAGAGACCAGAGAGACCAGAGAGACCAGAGAGAGACCAGAGAGAGACCAGAGAGAGACCAGAGAGACCAGAGAGAGAGACCAGAGAGAGAGACCAGAGAGAGACCAGAGAGAGAGACCAGAGAGAGAGACCAGAGAGAGAGACCAGAGAGACCAGAGAGAGAGGCCAGAGAGAGACCAGAGAGACACCAGAGAGAGAGACCAGAGAGAGAGACCAGAGAGAGACCAGAGAGAGAGACCAGAGAGAGACCAGAGAGAGACCAGAGAGACACCAGAGAGAGACCAGAGAGAGAGACCAGAGAGAGACCAGAGAGAGACCAGAGAGAGACCAGAGAGAGACCAGAGAGAGACCAGAGAGAGACCAGAGAGACCAAAGTGAGACCAAAGTGAGACCAGAGAGAGACCAGAGAGAGACCAGAGAGAGACCAGAGAGAGACCAGAGAGACACCAGAGAGAGACCAGAGAGAGACCAGAGAGACCAAAGTGAGACCAGAGAGAGACCAGAGAGAAACCAGAGAGAGACCAGAGAGAGACCAGAGAGAGACCAGAGAGAGACCAGAGAGACCAGAGAGACACCAGAGAGAGACCAGAAAGAGACCAGAGAGACCAAAGTGAGACCAGAGAGAGACCAGAGAGAGACCAGAGACACCAGAGTGAGACCAGAGAGAGACCACTGTGTCTGTTTGATTTTCTGATCCATGTCGACGAATCGACAACTTGGTAAAGTCCTTTGACGAGGCTAAAAACATAGAATAGAATTGTTGTGATGAAAAACAGTTAAACATTATTTATTAGAAAATTAAAGCTGCTGAACCTAAAGTTTTGTTTCGAGACTGAAATGTTGTTTGTCGCGATAGAAAAAGTGTGAGAAATGTGTTTATTGTGGATAAATCCGACGTCATCTCCCCAGGTCATTGTGCTGACGTGATCCAACAGTCCCTGTGAGTCACTATTTGACCCTTTGGGCTCAGACAGAAATAAGAATTAGATTTTTACATGAGCTTTGAAAATAGAGACCACAGCTTTAAGTCTCGCACCAAATGTTAGTGCTATAAGAACCAAGTGGAACTCTGAGGAGCACAGGGACTGGCCTCCTGCTGTGACTCTGAGGAGCACAGGGACTGGCCTCCTGCTGGGACTGAGGAGCACAGGGACTGGCCTCCTGCTGGGACTGAGGAGCACAGGGACTGGCCTCCTGCTGTGACTCTGAGGAGCACAGGGACTGGCCTCCTGCTAAGACTGAGGAGCACAGGGACTGGCCTCCTGCTGGGACTGAGGAGCACAGGGACTGGCCTCCTGCTGGGACTCTGAGGAGCACAGGGACTGGCCTCCTGCTGGGACTCTGAGGAGCACAGGGACTGGTCTCCTGCTGGGACTCTGAGGAGCACAGAGACTGGCCTCCTGCTGGGACTCTGAGGAGCACAGGGACTGGCCTCCTGCTGGGACTCTGAGGAGCACAGGGACTGGCCTCCTGCTGGGACTCTGAGGAGCACAGGGACTGGCCTCCTGCTAAGACTGAGGAGCACAGGGACTGGTCTCCTGCTGGGACTCTGAGGAGCACAGGGACTGGCCTCCTGCTAAGACTGTGAGGAGCACAGGGACTGGCCTCCTGCTAAGACTCTGAGGAGCACAGGGACTGGCCTCCTGCTAAGACTCTGAGGAGCACAGGGACTGGCCTCCTGCTGGGACTCTGAGGAGCACAGGGACTGGCCTCCTGCTGGGACTCTGAGGAGCACAGGGACTGGTCTCCTGCTGGGACTCTGAGGAGCACAGGGACTGGTCTCCTGCTGGTCCCAGAGTCAGGACTAAACATGGGGAGGCAGTGTTTCAGATTTATGCAGCTAAAAACAGTCTTCCAGAAAACGTGAGACGGGCAATATTCAAATCCAGGTTAAAAACAGATTTAATCCTGACTTTCTGATTTAAAGCCTTGTCTTGTGAGTTGCCGTGTGTGGACTGTGCTATACCAATAACCTTGCCTAATGCTAAAGGGTTATGAACATATGACATCAGTGACTTTTCCGCGTGGCCTCGCACCAGCATTTTTGTGTTACAATTTGAGTAAACTTCTGAACCATCAAACGACAGAATAAAAATAACATATGTACATGTAGATACGGATACAGGTGTAAAAAATAAAAGAATACAGAATACATACAGGTGAACAGAACCATGAACAGAACCATGAACACGCTCAGAGCAGAGGAGTCATTCTGTGTCCGTCCTAAAAACAACAAAGTTCACAATCTGGTCCCAAAGAGTTCCATCCACATGGACGGCGTGCTCCGGTGTCTGGCCGTGACTGCCCTTCCTCTGATTGGCTGCGTCCGTCCTGAGAAAAGGTACTTGTAGAAGAAGAAAGCAGTTTGTTGCTGGGGGACGTGAATGCTTCTCGGGCACAAGACGCCATTTTGTGTCCACGGAAATCACAGTTGCATCTTTTTGTTTTCCCCCCGTTTGGATTGAATGGTATAGACCAGGGGAGAGACCAGGGGAGAGACCAGGTGAGAGACCAGGTGAGAGACCAGGGGAGAGACCAGGTGAGAGACCAGGGGAGAGACCAGGGGAGAGACCAGGGGAGAGACCAGGGGAGAGACCAGGTGAGAGACCAGGTGAGAGACCAGGTGAGAGACCAGGGGAGAGACCAGGGGAGAGACCAGGGGAGAGACCAGGGGAGAGACCAGGGGAGAGACCAGGGGAGAGACCAGGTGAGAGACCAGGTGAGAGACCAGGGGAGAGACCAGGGGAGAGACCAGGGGAGAGACCAGGTGAGAGACCAGGTGAGAGACCAGGTGAGAGACCAGGTGAGAGACCAGGGGAGAGACCAGGTGAGAGACCAGGTGAGAGACCAGAGGAGAGACCAGAGGAGAGACCAGAGGAGAGACCAGGTGAGAGACCAGGGGAGATACCAGGGGCGAGACCAGGTGAGAGACCAGGGGAGAGACCAGGGGAGAGACCAGGGGAGACAGGACCAGGGGAGAGACCAGGTGAGAGACCAGGGGAGACCAGGGGAGACCAGGGGAGACAGGACCAGGGGAGAGACCAGGGGAGAGACCAGGTGAGAGACCAGGGGAGAAACCAGGGGAGAGACCAGGTGAGAGACTAGGGGAGAGACCAGGGGAGACAGGACCAGGGGAGAGACCAGGGGAGAGACCAGGGGAGAGACCAGGGGAGAGACCAGGGGAGAGACCAGGGGAGAGACCAGGCGAGACAGGACCAGGGGAGAGACCAGGACCAGTGGAGCTAGGACAAGGGTAGAGACCAAGGAACCCAGGATCAGGGGAGAGACCAGGGGACCCAGGGCTAGGGGAGCAAGGACCAGGGGAGGCAGGACCAGGGGAGACAGGACCAGGGGAGACAGGACCAGGGGAGACAGGACCAGGGGAGACAGGACCAGGGGAGACAGGACCAGGGGAGACAGGACCAGGGGAGGCAGGACCAGGGGAGACAGGACCAGGGCAGGTTGAGAAGCTAGTAGCAGATCTTGTGTTTCTAATCTGGTGAAAGTGTAAAACAGCCGGAACAATCAGTTGTGTCCCTAGGGTGCTGTGGCGAGGGCGGGGTGGGGTCCTTAGGGTGCTGTGGCGAGGGCGGGGTGGGGTCCTTAGGGTGCTGTGGCGGGGCGGGGTAGGGTCCTTAGGGTGCTGAGTTGGGGTGGGGCGGGGTCCCTAGGGCGCGGTGGTGATTGCGTTCAGGTCTTTCATGAGGCCCTCCAGGTGGGCCATCTCCTCCGTCAGCTCGTCAGGTTCGTAGCTCTGCGGGAGAGGCACAGGAGGGGGGGCGTTACTGCGCGAGGCGGAGGAGGGCGTCAGGGAGGCCAGGACCTGCAGGAGAGCCAGGGGGGAAGAGGGGGGAGAGGGGGAGAGGGGGAGAGGGGGGAGAGCAAGCCCAGGTCAGTCAGGTTAGGAGGGCAGGGGGAGGGGCTGATGCTGAGGCAAAGACTGCAGCTGATGTCCTGTACCTGTGATACCTGGACCTGGGGTAAGTCTGGGGTAGACCTGAGGCTGGATTATGGCGTTAATAATCTGGTTTATCGACGCCTCTTTATGCTGCCTTTACCTTTTTACTCTAACGACTTCTCTGCACCTGGAGCCAAAGAGATTCCTAGTTTGTGACCTCCTGTGACCTCCTGTGACCTCCTGTAACCTACGATGGCAATAAAAAACATCTGGTTCTGGACCGGGTCTTGCTTTTTTATTAACCAAAAAATATAGAGAACTATAGAGTTGTTCTATACTTTATATTAACCTCATTCTTCTGTTCTTTAACTGGTAATACAACACTGACATTTCCCTTGCACTTTACAGCTTCCGGACTAAAGACCTGCTGAGCTTTGGAGACCAGACCAGGCCAGGTTTAAGACCTATTTTATACATGGTCCAGAATTATGATCACATGGTCAGACAGTGGCCCCGACTTGGCCCCGACTTAGCCCCGACTTAGCCCCGACTTATGTGTTTTATAACCTCATTCTAGCTCATACATTTAGCTCGTTTGCTAGCACTGCCCTTGTCACCCTAGAAATAAAACGCTTCCCATTGAAAGTCCACGTCTTTGCAGCAGGAACAGCCCCTTACTGTATGAATGAAATGAGAATGGGTCAAAGAAACTGAAGCCAAAAGAAAAAAGCAGCCGGAAAAACATCCAGAAAAGCATTCCAAATAAACAAAACAAAAAAGCAACAAAATCATTCCAGGTGTTTTTGAAAAGTTATTGATTAAAAGACAAACATGCGCCGACAGAAGCGACAGAAGCAGACGGAAAAGAGGAGAAACAGAGAGACAGAGTTAACGGCGGCGTCCGGACGGTTCCTGTGAGCGTGAGGTCAGAGGAGCACGTCGATGTTCAGGAAGACGTGTCCGAGACTCACACTGTCCACGTCCTCCAACATCCGGCTGGTCTCCGGGACGTCCGGGGCGTTGGGCACCGTCACGATCATCGGGGTCCGCGTCCGGCCCAGGGTCCCGATGGAGGCCGTCTTCACCACGTGGGGGTGGCTGGGAGCGCCTGGGGGGGCAGGGGGAGGCCGTCAGGAGAAGTGTAAACGAAAAGGTGCACTTTCATTAAAGTCATTTTAAGTCAAGTTTTTAAGTGTGTGTCCTGGGTCTACAGTCTCAGTCCTGGGTCTACAGCCTCAGTCCTGGGTCAACAGCCTCAGTCCTGGGTCTACAGCCTCAGTCCTGGGTCTACAGCCTCAGTCCTGGGTCTACAGCCTCAGTCCTGGGTCTACAGTCTCAGTCCTGGGTCTACAGCCTCAGTCCTGGGTCTACAGCCTCAGTCCTGGGTCTACAGCCTCAGTCCTGGGTCTACAGCCTCAGTCCTGGGTCTACAGCCTCAGTCCTGGGTCTACAGTCTCAGTCCTGGGTCTACAGCCTCAGTCCTGGGTCTACAGCCTCAGTCCTGGGTCTACAGCCTCAGTCCTGGGTCTACAGCCTCAGTCCTGGGTCTATACAGTCTCAGTCCTGGGTCTACAGCCCCAGTCCTGGGTCTACAGCCTCAGCCCTGGGTCTACAGCCTCAGTCCTGGGTCTACAGCCTCAGTCCTGGGTCTACAGCCTCAGTCCTGGGTCTACAGCCTCAGTCCTGGGCCTACAGCCTCAGTCCTGAGTCTACAGCCTCAGTCCTGGGTCTACAGCCTCAGTCCTGGGTCTACAGCCTCAGTCCTGGGTCTACAGCCTCAGTCCTGGGTCTACAGTCTCAGTCCTGGGTCTACAGTCTCAGTCCTGGGTCTACAGCCTCAGTCCTGGGTCTACAGCCTCAGTCCTGGGTCTACAGCCTCAGTCCTGGGTCTACAGCCTCAGTCCTGGGTCTACAGTCTCAGTCCTGGGTCTACAGTCTCAGTCCTGGGTCTACAGCCTCAGTCCTGGGTCTACAGCCTCAGTCCTGGGTCTACAGTCTCAGTCCTGGGTCTACAGTCTCAGTCCTGGGTCTACAGTCTCAGTCCTGGGTCTACAGTCTCAGTCCTGGGTCTACAGCCTCAGTCCTGGGTCTACAGTCTCAGTCCTGGGTCTACAGTCTCAGTCCTGGATCTACAGTCTCAGTCCTGGGTCTACAGTCTCAGTCCTGGGTCTACAGCCTCAGTCCTGGATCTACAGCCTCAGTCCTGGGTGTACAGTCTCAGTCCTGGGTCTACAGCCTCAGTCCGGGGTCTACAGCCTCAGTCCTGGGTCTACACAGTCTCAGTCCTGGGTCTACAGTCTCAGTCCTGGGTCTACAGTCTCAGTCCTGGGTCTACAGTCTCAGTCCTGGATCTATTGTGGGCTAACTCAGGACCATAACTTTACATGTGTCTATCTTCCCCTAGTCTCCTTCTTCATGAGACCCCAGTGAGTCTAAGTCTCGGTCTCTGTCTCGGTCTCGTACCGCTCTGTGTGAGCAGGGGCGTGCAGGGCAGGGCGGGGTTCTCGTAGGAGGGGTGGGCTCCCGGGGGGATGGCGGGGACTGCGAAGCTCTTCAGCGGGTGTGCGTGTGCGTGCACCGGGCGCAGAGGGGCCAGGCTGCCGCTATAGCTGCCCTCCTCCTCCGTGGTGCTGCCGTGGTAGCTCCCCTCCGGGTCCACCGTGATCTCCGAGGGACAGGAGAGCTGCGAGGAGAGCTGCGAGGAGAGCTGCGAGGAGAGCTGCGAGGAGAGCTGCGAGGAGAGCTGCGAGGAGAGCTGCGAGGAGAGCTGCGAGGAGAGCTGCGAGGAGAGCTGCGAGGAGAGCTGCGAGGAGAGCTGCGAGGAGGCCGGGGGAGGGGCGTCCGAGCACGGCGTGTTCCTCACCGACTCTGAGGGAGACAAGAGGGTCACGTTATAGATGCCACAACACTACTATGGAACCAGGTGTGCAAGAAGGAGGGGGGAAGGGAGACGAGAACCATGTGGCACTATAGATGCCACCACACTAAGGAAGGAAGGGAGACGAGAACCATGTGGCACTATAGATGCCACCACACTAAGGAAGGAAGGGAGACGAGAACCATGTGGCACTATAGATGCCACGCCACTAAGGAAGGAAAAGAGACGAGAACCATGTGGCACTATAGATGCCACGACACTAAGGAAGGAAGGGAGACGAGAACCATGTGGCACTATAGATGCTACGACACTAAGGAAGAGAGACGAGAACCATGTGGCACTATAGATGCCACCACACTAAGGAAGGAAGGGAGACGAGAACCATGTGGCACTATAGATGCCACCACACTAAGGAAA